CCCTGGACAGCCGGGGCTCTCATGCACATTGCTGGATTGTGATGGGATTCAGGTAAACATTATGGGAGGCTGAGGAGGCTAATAATTTAATTAGGCTAAAAAGGAGGATTCATTGGAATAAGGAGCAAAGGAACGGAGAGAAACCCTGCAGGGCAGGGAGGGAGAAATCCCAGCACCAGCATACAATTAAAGCCTTACTGAGGAGTACATAGAGGCCATCCAAGGCTCATCCCATCCTGAAGGATTTGATTCATATTATCCAGCAAAATCACCTATAATTGAAGTATAAAGCCATATAAGCCTTTAATTAGGCTAAAAAGGAGGTGAGCATATATGAATGGTATATTTACTGGAAGAACAGAGTGAAATAAACACGTGGAGTAATTTAATCACATTGGGACAATTATATATATATTTTTGGCACTTTATATATATATATATTTATTTCATTTATATATAATATATTGCTCACATTAATATAACATTTATGATATATATCATGGTAATATTGCACTTAATTAAGGCACAGTGGATCACATTATCAAATTGATTTATTACTATTTTTAGTGCATTTTATATATGGAGAAGTGTATTATTATATAGGTATTATATGGATTATAAGTAATTAAATACAAGTTTTGGGGAGCGGTATTTTTTTTGTTATCACTAGCCTGAGGAGGCTGCTGCACACAGGTTTTTTACCTTCCTGCATATAATGCAGGAAGGTAACAAACCTTGAGCCTTTACAAGCACTTTAAGTACAAGCACTTTAATAGCTGGCCACGTGGTGCAAAGTGGGGACTTGCCTCGCAATGCATTGCGCTGAATAAAAAATACTACCCACAGTACTTCTTTTCAGTGAACACCACTGCAATATAAGGAGGGGGGGTGCAGACAGGGCACCCTGGAGGATACATATGAGTGAAAATTAAACTGCAGCAGAGAAAGGTCAGGTCCTCTAGTCTCTGCCATGTGGCAGAGCTGTTTAAATGACAGGAATGCATGGACAGGAATACAAATTTTTGGCAGGTAAAACAAATCTCATGTGTATTTCATCTGTATATTTAGCTGTATGCCCGGATCTCAGTTTTAACTATAGATATTTGACATTTTAGGTCAGAGAAGGGGACATGAGCAGACCACTACAAGGACAAGTATGTCTATACAGTGGCTAAATGGTTAGCACTTCCGCCTGGCAGTACTAGGGGCGTTGGTTCGAATCCCAACCATGGCACCACCTGCCTGGAGTTTGCATGTTCTCCCTGTGCCTGCGTGGGTTTCCTTTGGGTACTCTGGTTTCCTTCCACACTCCAAAGACATGCTGGTAGGTGAATTAGATCCTGTCTAAATTGTCCCTAGTATGTGTATGCATGAATGTGAGTTAGGGACCTTAGATTGTATGCCCCTTGAGGGTTAGGGACTGATGTGAATGTACAATATATATGTAAAGCGCTGTGTAAATTGACGGTGCTATATAAGTACCTGAACTCTAGGCAGTTTGACGCCGACATCACACAATTATGCGGCCTCACAGAACTGGGCTTTTTTCTGTGGGGCCACATATTTGTGTACCTGTCTTTGTGCTGGGTGCAAGTGTACAATCCAAACGCACACGTTCCTGCATTAAAAATGGCTGTGTGTATAAGTGGGTGCTGCAGCGACAGTGGGCTGGAACTGAACAGAATCAGCAAGGGAGAATGTCACCAGCACACCGAGGATCACCAATATGGGTACAAACATTTTAATGAACGATCACATATTTACAGCAAGGCAACGTTTCAGAGTCTCTCAGGACCCCTTCATCACGTATGTGACCACTGAGCACTCCGAGCACAAAGACCGGGGTGTTGCTGAGAGTCACTGTGAAGCCCACCCCCTAGGTTTTTTTTGTCTCTCTGAATGGAGGCGAGAGATACATTGTATCTTTCTCTCTCTCTGCTTACAGAGAGAAAAAAAAAACTGTTTGTAAAAAAAAAAAAAAAAAAAAAGATAATTAAATAATTTTTTAAAGAAATTGGTATCAGTGTCAGTTAGTGTCAGTGTGTTTTAGGTAAAAAAAACTAAATGTGCACTATTGTTTCTGGGATGTAGTACAGGTACAAATAACATACACATATATGGTAGCACTGCGATCGTCAAGAACTGGAAATTTTTTTGGGTTGTTCTTTGGTGGTAGGTTATGGTTGTAATAAGAAACACACAGCTAAATTTAAAAAAAAAAAAGATTTTTTTTTTTACTATTTTGGGCCAGTTTTCCCTTGATAATAAAAAAACTCAGGAGATATGTCACCAGTTTAAACCAATCTAGTAGCACAAAACCTTCGAAAACAATAACTACCACCCCCAAAGAAAAGTCAACAACTTTCACCCTTGAAAGCAAAATAAATAATAACAAACTTTTCTCAACAAAATGAAACTAAATAAAATAAGTAATCAAAAGTGTCCAAATCCAATAAATGTCCTCAATCAAAAATAGAAAAATAAAATAATAGTCCTATATGAGAAGTCTTTAATCCTTCAAAAAATAAACGTTTTTTTCTTTACTCTATCCCACGTAGGTGTTTCCGGATTTTCGTGTACCTCAAAAAAATATAAAAACTCGAAATAGTGTGTTACCTTTTATATAAATGACGTGCCACAAACTGTGAATCGTGCAAAAACTGCATAACATGTGCAATACACACGTGAAAGGAGAGAAAAGGAGAAAAAAAAAATATATATATATAGAATAATACTATATAGAATCACCACTGTAAAAAAAATTATATAAAATAGTGTATCAAAATATCCACGTGAATCCACTCAAATTGTGAGTACAACAGCTACAGCAATAAAAAGTGTTTCACTCCAATGTTGTGTAAAAACAAACTCAGCACAAAAGTGATCAAACTCCCCAACAAACTCTGATTAGAGGATATAATCCTTCTCCATTAATAAATTGTGCAAAAATAGGTATCAAATAAAGTGTTCCACTTTAACTGGTGTAAACGTGAGCAATTACCCTATGCCTGTAACAAACAGGCACTTCTCAAATGGATGGAAAGAACTCTCCAGGATCCCACTTAATCTTAATGTATCTCCTACATTTTCCTCATTAAATAAATCAGGGATTTAGAGATGATGGTGTGGTAAGTAAAACAACATTTATTAGGTAACTTACATCTTAAAATGAAGAGATCAGCTTCCAAACACAGTTCAAATCGTATACTATTTAGTATGGGAACCACCGCATGTTCCCACTTCCAAAATGGCCATGATCGCACTTCCGGTAGGCGTCAGTGCGTCAGACGTCATGTGTTCCGACATGTTTCGTCACTTCCTGGACTGTTTCTCAAGGGATCCACCAGTTACCACCAAATGAAAGCCCAATTTGTTCTGAAAAAAAAACCATGGTATAATTCAACTGGATGTACAAAGTAGTTGTGATGATATCTACGGTTTTACTAACACATGTCACAGTTGTAAAATTTTACTTCGGCTTTAAGATTTTTTTTACCCTTAGGCATGAAGGGGTTAAACTTATTTTTAAATAAAAGTACATTAGGTAATTAAACTTATAATGGTAGCTTGGTATCAGTCTGTTGTAATCCACCGTAAAGCGACACGGAAAGAGGGGCAGCCAGCATTAGGGCCAATCAGGCCATCCAATCACTTTGTTGTTCTCTGTTACCCAAAGTCATTTTGCCCAATGTGGCTGAAATTGGCTTGGACTAGGTCATGATCAACTCATAGCTATGGGAACATAGACAGAATAAAGTTATATGGTGCCAAGCATATAAAAAGCAAATAGATGGAAATAATTAGGATAGTGTCATAAGACTTCACTAGGGACAATACACACTAAACCCACAGTACACGCTATTCACTTCAGCAAAGTGTTTTCTGCTCAGAGCAAGATTTAAAACAGAGAACTCCCACACAACTTCTGTCTAAAATACCAAATTTGCTTCATCTCTTTTTTACAATTTATTTAATCTCTTCTACAAACCTATACAAATGCACATGAAAAAATGAAGGATTTCATGTTGGAGAAGAAAGTTAATTGGGTCTTCCAGGTTGGAAGCAAATTAGGGCCAAGGAGTGAAACAAATCAGAGTGCCTTAAAGTAGATGTAAACTCTAACAATGGCCTTCTCCTATTTGTTCCCTTTAGGTCTCTTAAAGCCAGGGGCAGATTGACAACTCATGGGGCCCCCAGGCAATAGGGGATCATGGGGCCCCTGTGTCCTTGCCCAAACTCAATAAAGCCTATGAAAAAGGTACCAGGGGTATCTCATGGGGCCCCCTACTGACCCCGGGCCCTTGGGCAGTGCCCGAGTTTCCAAATGGTCAGTCCGCCCCTGCTTAAAGCCTAAAACCAGCCATGCTTGGATGGAAATTTGACAAGTTCAGCAGGAACCCAACAGATTGTGATCCATGTATGGGCACCTTGGATTGACTTCTGTACAGCCAGCCTATCAGAAAAATATTGCTCAATCAGCACTGATTGGTGGTATTCTGATGACAGGAAAGTCTCCCCACTGCCAAAATACTAAGGCTCAGTGAGAGTGATCCCTCCATCCACCCTCAAATGTGTGGATGAGGCAATTTGGTCAGTATGCAACGCCGCTAGTCCTTGCTCCAGTGAGCACGATGACGTCAGCACAAGCTCCACTGGAGCCGGAATTAGTGGCACTGCATACTGTATGACTTTTTTTTTACACATTGACAGATTGTGAGAAGACATGCACGGGTTGATTTACTAAAACTGGAGAGTGCTAAATCTATGCAGCTCTGCATAGAAACCAATCAGCTTCCACTTTTTTTTGTCAAAGTTTAAAGTGTTACTAAACCCACAACAGTAAAATTAGTCTGTATATGCAGTAAAGCATGCTTGTTATGCTCACTGTGGAAGTTAAGGGGTTAATCCTCTGCATTGTGTAAAAAGGCTGTTTGATCCTTTCTTCTCTGCCTCTCCTCTTGTTGAAATGACCACCTGATACAGACTGAATCCATAGTCACATGCAAATGCTCAGTTTGGTGTGTATTGCTAGAAAGGTTTTTTTTTCTCTTTTTTTCGTCTTGAGAGAGTGCATGTGATGAGCACAGGCCCAATCAGCACTGCCCAGACAGAGGGTCAAGGGTTTCACATCCTCCTAGAGCAGAAAGAAAACTCCTCCTACAAGCTTTAACCAGTGTATTCTGAAGTCAAAAGACTGCGTTAACTGCTGATGAGAAAAGATATTCAGCAGTTTATAGTTACTAAAATAATTGCATTTCCATGTTCTGTGTACTGTGGGAGACCAGATATAGTGAATGCAGGGTCTGGGGAGACCGGATATAGTGAATGCAGGGTCCTGAGTTTAGTAACACTTTAATTGAAGAAGCTAAAGTTAGAAGCTGATTGGCTACCATGCACAGCTACACCAGATCTTGGACTCTCCATTTTAATAATTTATTAAATTTAAAAGAACAAAGTAAGCTGTTTTGCACTCTGGAAGTTATTATTTGTTTATTTTGCTGGATTAACATGTATGGAGCAAAAGAGGTGATCTAAGTGAGTCTCCCTGTTTGTGTGCCCTGTGGTTCCCTCATTGCTGGATGCATTGCCAGAAACAGAGTCCATGCACTTTAAAGCTCATCTAGACCACCTATAAATTGGTGTGTTCTTATTTGGTAAATGGCTGTGTGTGGTATGGTGGTGAAACTCACTGGGTATATTTTAAGTGGATTATTCACTTGGATGGACTTTTTATTTGGACGTTCACTAAAAGTGTTAATATATTTTCACATTAATCGATTTATTTATTTTTTACATTTTTTTTATTCATGCTTTGTATATATTGATGCTTGTTTTCATTTTATTTGGAGTTTTAAAGGCTCAGGACAATATTGTCTAATAGGATAGAACACTTGTACTTTGGTGTTATTGAGTGCAGCTGTGAGGACAAACTACTGTATTTGATTTTTTTTGTTTTTTTTTTACAAGTTCACTTTTACAAAAAAATAAATAAATAAATGCAGTTTTTTTTTCCAAGTAAAAATGCGTATTTACTATTTTTTTTAGGAACCTGGAAGAACATTGCCCCCTTATTCAGCAGGTGCCACGCAGGACTCCTGCAGACTGTCACTGTGAGCTGTAAGCCCTTACAGTGTACGGGGAGGCAGTTTCACACTGACAGGAAGAATCAATGAAATACCACAGTGCTCAACAGCGCCATGTATGTAGGAGAAGGGCCAAGTGACTCAACATAGGCGGCTTGTAGTGCAGTATCTCCCAATGTAATTCTTGAAGTACCCACAACGAGACATGTTTTGGGCATATCTGTCATGAGTACCAAGCCATTGACATTTGTTTAAAGCATCTGTGCAAGGTGAAGTAAATCCTGAAACATGACATTACTTGAGGCCTGAATATTGTTTTTTGTTTTTGCTACCATGGCTATGGGGGGGGGGGGGGGCATAGATGTCAGGACCCCTGGATAGCAATGTTTTGAGCATTCCTACAGTTCAGAAATGCTTTACCCTGAAGGGATGATGTTGTGATGAGCCACATACCTATAAGGTACCATAACAGACTGTACAGTGGGTTCATTTTAGTTTGATACTCATGTGTATTAGAGTTTTTTATGTTGTAAAGTGACATCAATATGCTATGTTATGTCATCAATATGTCATGGATCATGTTTTTTTCCATTGATGGTTGTTGGGTTGTTTAACCACCTCTCACACCCGCCATATAGGAAAATGATGGTTGGGAGGGAGCTCTCTTGTTTTGGGAGGACGTTCATATGATGTCCTCCCACTCTAGCTGTGCATGCGCGCCCCTGGAGTAATGTCTCTAGCTCTCTTGTCTCCTCCTCCCACGCCCGATTGCAGGACTTCTCCAGGACTTCCCCATCCTCTGGAACTCCCTACCCCAATCCATCAGACTGTTGCTTACCCTCTTCACCTTCAGGCGCACCCTGAAAACCCTCCTCTTCAGGGAAGCCTAGCTCAACCTCACCTAACACCTGACCTCACCTAACAACTAACCTCCTCCACTCCTCCCACTACTCCATCTCCCACAGCCATCTCCTCCTGTGCACCTTCCCCTCCCTCCTAGATTGTAAGCTCGAAAGAGCAGGGCCCTCGAACCCCTCATATAGTGTATTGTTACTGTCTTGTCTCATGTTCTGTCCCCCCTGCTACTGTACAGCGCTGAGCATACCCTTTGGTGCTATATAAATACTGTATAATAATAATAATAATAATGTGGCGTAGTGATCAAGAGCCAATGATGTAGGCTCTACCACATGTGTCCAATCACAGCTGATCACATGTAAACAGGAAATGCCAGTTATCGGTGGTCCTCTCCTCACGCTGACAGCTGGTAAGCAGAATTCCTTAGAGGGGATATCTACACTGATAATCAGAGCACTGATCATCAGTGCCCTAATTATCATTGCAGCCCCATCAGTGCCGCCAATCAGTGCCCATCATTGCCACCGACCAATGCCCATCAATGCCAGATATCAGTGCCCATCAATGACATGTATCAGTGTCCATAAATGCCATATATCTGTGCTCATCAGAGCTGCCTTTCAGTGTCTATTAATGATGCCTGACAATGTCTATCAGTGCTGCCTATCAGTGCGTCCTTATCAGTGCAGTCTATCAGTACCCATCAGTGCCAACGATCAGTGTCAATCAGTGCCAGTCAGTGCTGCCTATCAGTGACAGTCAATGCCGCCTATCAGTGCCTGTCAGTGCCACATATCAGTGCCCTTCAGTGCTGCCTTTCAGTGCCCATCAATGATGCCTGTCAGCACCCATCAGTGCTGCCTATCAGTTCCATCTATCAGTGCTATCAGTGCCATCTATCAGTGCTGTCTATCAGTGCCCATCAGTGCCACCTATCAGTGCAGCCTCATCAGCACACATCCGTGAATGAGAAAAAAAAAATTGGGGGTTGATTTAATAAAACTGGAGAGCACAAAATCTGGTGCAACTCTGCATAGAAACCAATCAGATTCCAGGTTTTTTTTTGTCAAAGCTTTATTGAACAAACTGAAGTAAGAAGTTGATTGGCTACCATGCACAGCTGCACCAGATTTTGCACTCTCCATAAATGCAAAAACATTTTTATTCCATACATTTATTGAAGCGGAGCTCCAGTCATTTTTGCGTTTAATAAAAGTCAGCAGCTACAAAAACTGCAGCTGCTGACTTTTAATAAACACACACTTACCTGTCCTGGGGCCCAGCGGTGTGCTCACTCGCGCTGTTCCTTCTCTCCCTTTCTTCTCCCCGGCGCTGGCATCTCAACTGTGGGCACCAGGCTGTGACAGCTTGCGGCATCACAAACAGGTGCCCACTGTGCATGCGCAAGTCGTTCTGCGCCTCCTGATTGGTCCGGCAGTCTTCTGGGATCTGTGAAGTATCCCAGAAGACTGTGGGAGGAAGGAGGGGTTGAACTTCCATCTCACTTTGCCGCGGTGAACTGAGCTGGAAGTGGGAGCGGGTACCTGTCAAAACCAGATATCTGCTCCCCCCAAAAAAGTGCCAAATATGGCAACGGAGGGGGGGGAGGAGGTAAACAAGCTGAGCTTCCACTTTTGGGTGGAAATCCACTTTAAAGTTTGAACAGGGATACAGAAAAAAAGGCAAAAACATTTTTCTGAAGAGAAGAGGTGTGCTGGCAACATATATTTTTGGTACCATCTATTGGTTGTTTCATCACCCAAAAGACACAAAAGTCTGTTTCCGGTCTGGTGTGCGATGAAAATATCTCAACAATGTAAAACCAAGAGACTCTCTGGGGCTTTCTCCATAGCGTTGAGCTTGCTGTGAGTGGATGACCAGGGTACTTTGTGACAATACTCAGACATTCTATCTTCTAGAATATTTGGACAATTAGCTTGTTGATCTCTAACACCATCTATACTATATGAAGAAGCTTCCTTAGTAGAAAAGCAATAGTGGATGTTTGGGGTCCCTATGAGCCTCATTACAAACGTATTAATCATAAATTGAAGAAGGATCAGGTTTTTCAGCATCCATCCATTATCTCCACTACTTTTACCCACAATTAATTTTATGTAGTTAAAATAATCAGGCTCATACGTACATACTCTCCAACAGACTCTAGTTCTAATTGGTGCTGGGATTTGGATCCCTTGCTAGCTAGGCAATGGCTGCAAAACTGTAATTGAAGTCAAACAGTCTATTGGTAGCTGATTTATCATACATAGCTTGTGAATATTTGTAACTGTAATGTTTGGGAATTATAGTGCTGCAGGCAACGTGTATTTAAAATTCAACTCCAACACTAAACTCTAAACTGCTGAATTCGGAATATCTCAGGACAAGGCTCATTGAGCTCACAGAGTCAGCTAATGTCTGAATTTCTCAATTTACAGCAAAACAGAAATTGGTACCTCTCCTTCATTATGATGGGAGTTCTATTGTGGCCTAATTAGCTGCAGAGGAATGCAGACATTTATGTAAAACCAGAATAAAATGTCAGTGATCAGACAGATGTACAAAAAGGTAATACTGCCTGTAAATGTGAAAATTGATGCATCATTTATGCTGTATAGGGGAGTATATTAGTTTTGAGAATGCAAGAATAAATTCATGGGATGCACTTGAAGTCACCACATCTCCATGTTGTCATTAGTTCTTTATAAATGCATAACCTACATATCCTCAAACAGACTGCACACACTGAACTTTACACATTGAAGTGTGGACTGGTGATTGGTAGTGTTTAATGCTAGACTAAACTACAAACCACCATTAAGGTTGAAGTCTGACCAGGCAGTCCTCAGGGTAAACCCCCCTCTAGCCAATCACTGCAGTAATTCAAAAAGTCTACTATAAATGGCCCACTTACATTTGTGGTCATATTTGGCCCCGGGCCTCAAGTCTTCTTGATCGCAGAGTGCAGGGATCCTTTTTCAGGTGTGTACATTGATGCCTGTCCTTTGGTGACATTTTCCATTGCCTGTTCATCATTTTACAGGTTCTGAAGACACCAGCAGCAGCATAATGGCAAGCATCAGTTGGGCTCAGACTGCAGCATTGGATCACTGCTCCCCAAGGCTACTGTTGGAAACCACAGGGCTCCATACAATCACCTTGACAGTCCCCCCCCCCAAAAAAAATAAACAGTTTACTATGCTTCAATTATGAATGAACACAGTGATCGGTACCAATCACTCATTGTGTTCATTTAGGAAAGGAAGGCGCTGGTAAATGTGACATATCTACTGGACTCTTCCCCACTTTCCATCCTGAAATATGCTATTCTGTGCTCTCTCTGAAACCTGAAAGGAGAGAGAGGAGA